AGAAAGCAAATGTTTTGAGAATGATGATGGCAACATATGTACAAATGTGCTTGACACAATGGATGGATGTATGGATTGTGATAAGAGTTGTACGAGCCTCCAATAAAATGATTTTTTTAAAAAAAGGATCACAGTCATATTCTCTTATGAGGTCCCCAAAAAGCTGTGCTGAGCTTCAGCAGGGGTAAGACATGAAAGGAAATAAAAACGAATTTATTTATTTATTTTAATGAATAGAAACTGCTCAAAGGGTTTATAATGCCTGGAGAAACAAGGGAAAGGGCTGTGACCCGAACTGTAGTGGTGGCCTTCAAAGAAGTAGGTTGGACCCCTCAGAAGCCTGTAAAAGCAAAGACAGAGTTCAGATTCAGAACAGGCAACCCTTCGGAAGGAACCAGTGAACATTTAGAAAGAAGAAAAGCATTGAGTAACAATAATAATAATTAAATATTAAAACCTTTGCTAGAGGGAAAAGTTGTGTTTGTATTTCAGCAGATTAAAAAAAGAGTATGCATTTCTCCTTGGTGTGTCTACCGTAAGCAGGGTGGCTCCAGAGATTCCTGCAAGGGCAGTCTCAGGCAGAGACCAATCATTTCTCCTACGACTCCTGAGTGCATGTTCCTGGCCGAGCTGTCAGTGCTTGTTATTTAATCCCTCTCATTGAGCTTACATTCTGCATACGCATTGTTAAATACCATGTACCAGGACCTGTGGTTTCCACCAATGGCACTCAGTGAACTCCAAGACCTTGGGAAGATGGAAAAAGAGTCACTTTCTCGACGAGAAAGGACGTGCCTTGAACTTTACTTAAGTTATAACACTTATCCCTTGTGTGTGAAATCTGAAAAAGATTGCCTTAAAGCTAAAATGCAAGTGTAAATGTCTTCGTTATGTGTTAATCAGACTAATCATAGATTTTTCTTCTTAGCAAGAGTAACTTTAGCTAAATATAAAAATAATACTGCACAGCTTGGCAAAGAAAATAATGTTTTGTAAAGTTTTCACTTATCATAAGATTGTACAAAAGGAGTGGCATTAATTACCCTGTCAAGGCCACATTAAATGTTTTTATATATATTGTTAAAAATTCTGTCATTATTGTTAATTGGGGTCCTCATAAAAATTGTTTCAAAAGTATAACTACAACTATTTGTAAGTATGTAAATAATGCTATTTGGAATTATACAAAATCTATTTATTGGGTTAATACTCCATCTTTTGTTCCCCTGAACAGTAAGATTTGTAAAAATTGCTTGCAGCTACACAGCCAGAGGTCAGATAAGGCCACACTGTCTACTCAATTGGGTTCTGAAAAAAAACATAGAAAGTTAAGGTTTTAATTCCTAAAAGTTATCTTTGGTTAATCCTGTCTAAGATGCCTAAATAAATGTCATAAATGTCAGTTAAACCAAGGGGGCCAAAAGGCCCAATCAACCCCCCTGGAAGAAACTGTGCTGCCTGATCAAAGTGGCTGAGGAAAATCAAGGTGGCTGACAGAGGGCCCTGCCCTGGCGTATGTCAGTCAAAAGCCTGAGGCCATATTTCATGGCAATAAAAGTGTTTAAATATAAGTTAAAATAAATAAAAATTAAATTTGTTTTAAAAATTGGGTTTAAAATCTGGCTTTATTAGGTCTGTATTGTTTTAACTATTGTTATTGATACAGTAATTGATAAAAATGATCACTCAAAAGTAAAAGAATAGAAAGTTTGGAAGCCTACTTGCTTTCAGCCATCAATTAGAATCTTTAAGATGGGTATAAGCCTCGCCTGCAAAGAAGGCTCTGGAAAGGTCGGCCTCCCCCGGTGCTGAGTGCTCTGGACATCTGCAGACACCAGCGGAGGTTGCTGTTGGCAGAAGAAAATGGAACCCTTTTGGTTTTCTTTTAAATGTTAAGACTAGTGGTTTGCGCTTAAGGCTGAAAAAAAACTTAAAGCCATGAAGAAACTCTACTCTCTAGGACTAAATGCTGAAAGAAGAAGCCTGTAAGAAGCCTGATAGGCTTGTGAGTCTGTATCCCTAAGCAAAGTCAAAATAGGACAGGTCATCTATAAAGTCAGCAGCAATATGCACCAATTTACAGGCTCAGAAATCTTCTTTTCATCTGGTCGGGTTTTGGTTAACTCAATGTGGGCTGCTTCACTTGGCTCCACCAGGGTAGGGTGCCTATTGGTCACCTTGTCGTTGTCCATGGGCCCAGTTAACCAAACCCGACCAGATGAAAAGAACATTTTTGAGCCTGTGAATTGGTGCATATTGCTGCTGACTTTATGGATGACCTGTCCTGATTTGACTTTGCTTCTGGATGCAGACTCAAGGCTCCATTCAGAATGAAGATTCTTCACATCAAAGAACTTGCTTGTCTCCTCAAAGCACCAGGTTAATGTAAGTAGGCAGTATAGAAATTGGATGCCCAAAATCGGGGGTGGGGTGTGGGGTGTCAAGGCATAAGGTAACTGGGTTTACAAACTTTCATAGATAAAAAAATATAAAATATTTTTGTTTTGTTCACTTATAAATTATTATGTTTAAATAAGGCTGATACATTTCTTTATTTGTTTTTTAAAATCATTTCATTGGGGGTTCATACAATTCTTATCACAATCCATACAGACATCCATTGTGTCAAGCACATTTGTACATCTGCTGCCATCATCATTCTCAAAACATTTGCTTTCTACTTGAGCCCTTGGTATCAGCTCCTCATTTTTTCCCTCCCTCCCCCACCCTCCCTCTATCACTCACCCTTGATAATTTATAAACTGTTATTATTTTGTTATGCCTTACACTGTCCAATGTCTCCCTTCACCCACTTTGTTATTGTTTGTCCTCCCGAGAGGGGGTCATATGTAGATCCTTGTGATCGGTTTCCCCTTTCTCCCTCACCTTCCCCTTCCCCTCCTGGTATCGCTGCTCTCATTATTGGCCCTGAAGGGTTTATCTGACCTGGATTCCCTGTGTTTCCAGCTCTGATCTGTACCAGTGTACATGCTCTGGTCTAGTCGGATTTGTAGATAGAATTGGGATCATGATAGTGGGGTGGGGAAGGAAGCATTAAAAAACTAGAGGAAAGTTGTATGTTTCATCAGTGCTATACTACACCCTGACTGGCTCATCTCCCCACGGACCTTCTGTAAGGAGATGTCCACTTGCCTACAGATGGGCTTTGGGTCTCCACTCCGAACTCCCCCTCATTTACAATAATATTTTTTTTTTCTTTGATGCTTCATACCTGATTCCATTGACACCTTGTGATCACACAGGCTGGCAAGCTTCTTCCATGTGGACTTTGTTGCTTCTCAGCTAGATGGCCGCTTGTTTATCTTCAAGCCTTTAAGACCCCAGACACTATATCTTGTTATCTATATTCTTGCCTATCCTAGAAATGCTTATTTTATTGACGACCTCTTTATTTCATAAATATGACAACAGTAAAAAGATTTCAAATTTTTGTGTGCATTAACCATCTACCTAATGACCAGTGAGATGCCAGGTGACAGTGACACTGGCTGAGGTTATAGGTGATGGGTCAACCTGGCTGGATCATAATGCTCAGTGGTTTGGCAGTTATGCAATGATGTAATTTGGCACTTGTGCAGTCATGTACACACCTTCCATTTTCTGGTGGGATGTGGTCATCCTGTTTTCTTTTGCATAAAGACTTGGGTCTGAGGAACCTAACTGTGTCGATAAGTGAAGAGAGGATGTATTTCATTTCGGTGGAGTTACATAATATTTGTCCCTCTGTGCCTGACTGATTTCTATCAGCTTGTTTTCAAGTGGATCTAGCTTTTTGAAAGGCTAGGCCTGCAAGTTATAGATAGGTCTGCTACCATGTTACCATCATGTTGTCCTCGCTGGCAGGAACCAGTGGCCACAGCCTCCCGGAAACCCTCCTCAACCCTTTCCCATGCAAGACACCCAGCATCAGCAGGAGTGGAGTCAGACTCCAAAGCCAAAGGATCAGAGAACCTTTGATGGCTCACCATTTATTATTTCTTGCACAGCGTGCAACACACAGCAGGGCTCGCTAAAGAAGACACCTCTCCACAGGCTAAAGTTGGGGACCAAGCTTGAGCAGAGAGCTGGAAGTGAAAGCTCAGAACGTGTACAGGCGACGAGAAACAGACATCAGATCCAGATGTCCGAGCTGCAGTCTCCTCCCGGGTAGCGGAGCTCATGGGCCAGGGCGGGCCCAAGGGGTTCCTTCCCAAAGTCCACCAGGAAGTTGGGGTTCAATTTCAGCCCTCCCTGGGCTGTGTTTACATCGATCTGCAGCATCACAGAACCTTCCCTGGTGGAAAGGGAGGGAGGCGGAGTGGTAAGAGAGAAGACAGAAGGACTGCCCTCCCCCCACTCCCCTCCCACGGAGATGCTGAGTGCAAAAGTGGGTTCTTGAGGAGGGAGCGGGGTCTAAAGGGGGATGGTGGGGCTTCTGAGGAGGCGTCAGAAAGGCAGATGACTCCTCTGGGGGTGGAGGGCTGGGGAGAGAGAGAGTCCTTATTGCCGGTTTCTCACCTGATGAGGTCAGGGTAAAACTGCTTGTCCCAGGCACTGTACAGCGATGTGGTGACATACAGACGCTTCCCATCCAGGCTGAGCTGGATCATCTGGGGGCCTCCAGCCACACGCTTCCCCTTGAGAAAACCAGCGGCAGACCCCAAAGTTACACACAGACCCCTAGCAGGGCTCACAGGCACCACTCCCAGCTCAGAGGCTGCCCAACTCTCCCTGCCACGTGCCCCCTCCAGTTGGGCTCCAAAGTGGACTGTGAGTGGTAGGAGGGTCCTCACCTTCACCACCAGGGGCTCGGGCTGGGACTCCAGCTCCTGGTCCTTCAGCACTTGCACGGGTCCTCCCTTCACCACGCTGCCGCCCAGGAACAGCTGGCCGGGAGGGGAAAGGGATACATAGGAGAGGGCGGGGGGGGGGGGGGGGTTGCTGACATTGGTGGGAGAGCAGCTGCCTCCGCCTGATGCCCTCACCCTTTCAGATGCGTTCTCCCCACCCTCCTGGGTCTGCCCCATCCTTGGCCCCTGCTTTTTCTTTTCCTACCCCCTCCTCTCATCATCCTCCAAAGTATCATTTCTGCCTCCAGGGTCACTCTGAGTTGGCATGGACTCAATGGCAGTGAGTTTTTTTGGTTTGGTCGCCTGCCCAGCCTTTCGCCTCATTCCTCACTCTGTATTTCCCCACCCTGCTAGGGACCCACCTGTCCCGTGAGGATGGGCTTCTTTGGGTCAGAGATGTCATACTGCCTCAGGTCTCCATGTAGCCAGTTGCTGAAGTACAGGAAACGGTCATCCAGGGACACCAGGATGTCAGTGATCAGGCCTGGGGGTAGGGGTGGAGGTTCAGAGGCTCTAAGGACTCTTGTTCCCTGAGCCAGGCATGGACCTTGGATTCCTGTCCTCCCCGGGACACTCACCTGGCATTTCAGGCAACAGCCAGCCCTTCACTTTCTTGGGAGCCACCTGGATCACCTTCTCTACTGACCAAGTACCCGCCTGCATTGGGAGGTGAAGGGGCAGAAAGGTGAGCTTGCCAAACTGGGGGGTGGGGGAGCTCATATCTGGATCTCCCCAAAACCTGAGAAGGGAGACAGCAGATGTAGGGTCTTCTTGTCACGAGAGTGTAACTCCTGGACAAGCCCCTGAAGACACAGGGCGTGTCTCGACTACGCTATTCCAAGCACCGAGCTCAGCGTCGGATGCATTGCTGAAGCTCACGAACTATTTCTTTTATTGAATGCATGTAGGGTTTGGGTCCATGTAGAAAGTTACCTGAGTCTGAGAAAAAATGGGGCAGGTCTTGTGGCCTTGGTTTTTGTTCTCAGAAGAGTCTGGGCTGCTGGAGCCAGGGCAAGGGGACCTGGGTCCCTGCTATGGAGAGGAGAGGCACCTCCCTGGGCAGAAGCTCAGAGCAGGAGGGGAGGGCAGAGGCTGCAGGTCACCTCGTTCTTGTAGAAGCGCTGGATGTTGGAGCTGAGGGCACAGCCCACGAAGCCCTGAGTGGCGTCTGGGTTGTGTAGGAAGCGGATCTCCAGGGGGATGAGCCCGTCCTGCAGGGTCAGGGTCTGCACGAGCTTGCGGCGCTGCCAGTCCCACACGTGCAAGTGGCTCCCGTATAGCCCTAGGGTGAGGTGTGGACGGAAAGGGGGCTCAGGATCAGGGAGGCCAACAGCTTGGGCTTGGACCGGAGCACAAGGTTGGAAATGGGTAGCAGGGAACAGAGCGAGGCTGGAGCAGGCCTGAGCATTCAGCAGAGCCTGTGCCTTCACCCCAAGAGTTTGGGGTCCACAGAAGGGAAGTCAGAGGGCTGGAGGTGGGGTTGGGGAGCAGAAAGCAGAGGCTGTGGGCCCAAGGGTCCTGCTGGCTCTTGGGGGCAGGGGTGGGGGGGTGGGGCGTTCTCACCAGCCTTCACATCCTCAGGGTTGAAGCCATCCCGTATGACATTGGGAGCGGCCCATTCCGTGCTGATCATGACGTTGTGTCGAGGTTGGTACCAGAAGTCATAGCCCATTGGTGCGGCAGCCCCAGGCTGCTCCCAAGTCCCTTTCACTTCAAATGTCTCCCCATCGAGCAGCACGAAGCCCCCTGCGCAGGGACGGGAGGAAGATGGGAGAGGGAGGCCTAGAGACTCTGCTCCCACATACCCTTACCTCTAGGCAGGTCCAAGAGGACACCTTCCATCCAGGGACCAAGAGTCTCACCCGGAGGAGATTGGGGGAGGGGGACTCTTGCTCTGACAATCCTACCTCCCACCAACTTCATCCCTCTCCAGACGCCCCCAGGCCATCTTTCTTGCTCGACTCCAAACATCTGCTGGGACCCAATGCCCTGTGATTCTCTCACCCAGCCCTGCCCTCAGTCTGAGCTCCATTTTGTTCCCTACTAAGAAATAGAGCAGCTGTATTGTATAGATTTGCCATTCAACGCTAAAGCCCAATACATTGTCCCTCACTGGGTACGCCAGGACAGCTCTTTGAAGACAAAAACCAGATGTTGATTCTGAAGTCTTATGAAATCTAGGAATATCAAGCTCCTCCCATCACCCGCAGACACAGCAATCACATGAGACCCGAGCAGGAATCTTGCCTGGGTGACTTTGGCTAGTGTCCCACTCCCACTCTTGGATGGGTGGCTCTAGTGAAATAGATAAGGCTCTGAGGGAGGTGTGTGGTGCTTAGGACATACGCCCCTGCAGCCAGATTGCTCCATCTGCAATTTATTCACTGTGTGACCCTGGCTCAGTTACTTAACCGATCTGTGCCTCAACTCATGTACCTATCATTCGGCATCTACTTTGGGCACACAGTAGACATTTGATAGGTGTCAGCTCTAATTATGCCATAACTAAGATAGCAAACATGCAGATTAAGAAGCCTGGGGAACAGGCTAGAGGGTAGACAAGGGTTAACTTGGCTGAAGCAGAAGGCAAGAAACAACATGTGTGAAGTTAGCACACACACAAAAAAAGGATAAATGCAGGGGAAGACTTGGTGAGGTTTGAAAAGTCAAACCAACCAACCAACCCACAGAGCACGAGACCCGCTCACGAATACCCAGAGGCTGATAGTCATTGGAGGTGTTTTCTGGGGCCATGTCTGTGCCCACAGTCCCCGTAGCACACTGCTCTGACTAGAACTTTTAACTGGATTCATCAGTCAGGGTTCACCTACACAGGAATATTGGAAGCAACTCAAAAGTTTACTTGACTTCATGTTAAATATTGTTTGGGGCTCAGACCACTGGCTGTCACTTTGCATGTGCCCCCCCCCATGGAGACATGTTTTCATAAGCAGGGATGTGTCCCCGGTGCCCATGGGTACCTTTGGCATTGCCCTTGGGGTCTCCCAGAGCACTGATCATCACCTCCCCACTGGCCAGACAGTGGCTAGTATGGAGGGAACTCAGGCCGCACTTAGTATGCACGTCACTGGCTTCGATGACCTGGAGGGGGGCAAGGGATGGCATCAGAATCTCAGGGCCCCACTCCCTAGCCCTGCACCCCCCTGCTTTCTGCGGACCTGTCCTGTTCCCTTCCAAACCGACACAACTCTCCCCACAGGACTATGGCAGAGAGTGAGTCTGCGAACCTCTACGGAACAACAGAGAGAGGCTGTTCATCATCCTCCCAAACGACTGGCTTTTCCCTGGCACTGAAGGGCCCGGCAGCCCTGTGGGACTGACTTAAAAGCCCCTCCAGGGCTGGGATGACACCAGTTGCCAGCATCAACTTTGTCACCAGTGTCCAGCACAGTGGGTGCCCGGCTGGCCACAGGTCAGCAAGTAACAGAGGAAGAAAGATGGAGGCACCAGACTCAGGGGTGCTGTGAGCTCTTAACTGGGTGAGGCAAAAATGGTTCTTTCTCCAGGAGCCCCTGGTGGCCCCGTGGGTTCAGCTAGTGGAAACGTCTGCCGTTCAAACCCACCAGCCCCTCTGAAGGAAAAAGCGGTGGCAGTCTGCTCTGTAGAGAAAGGCTTGGATCCTCTCTAGGGCAGTTCTGTCCTGTCCTCTAGGGTGGCCTTGCATGGAAATCTACTCTATCCAACAAGTTCTCCTGAGGCAACCGGTTCTCCTTCTCCAATGAACACCAACAAAACCAGAAAGCTCCTCCCTGCGCTCTGCTCCAGCGGTCCGCTGTGCCAGGGTCCTGACAATCCACCCTATGGGGTAATTCGCCTCTGAGTGTAACCCTAGCCCCACCCCACCCCCTGCTGCTAAGCCCAGGTCCTGCATGAGAACTGGTTTAGGAGTGACTTCCCGACTGGAACAGGCTGTCCCGGGTGGCAGGTACGCTGGTTTCTGGGTAGCCAGGGGCAGAGAACGTGCCTTGTGCAGCTTGGGGGCCCGGGGCGCCGAGCCCACATCCACCACGTAGATGCGGGAGGAGATGAGGCAGGGTAGCACCAGCTTGGTGCGCGACTTGCTGCTGTCACCGAAGCAGCTGCTGCAGGTGTTCCACCCCGAGTGGTGCAGCTCGTCCTTCAGATGGGGCATGGGGAGCCGGTGGATGACCTGGGGAGGAGGGGACAGGGGTGGCACTCGCCCAGATCAAGCGCGGCCCCAGGACACTCCGTGGCTAGGCCGCTAAGCAGTTCAGCCCAGGCTGAGCTCCAGCCCTTTCCACATCCCTGGACAGCGTAAACAGCCTGCCCCACCGCACTGGACGCTGGGGAAGAACAGTGCAGGGCCAGAGCTAGGGGTGGGGGCTTGCTGCCTCACCTGGCAATAGTGGGGAGACTTGGGGTCAACGTCCACGGTGGCCAAATAGTCCGGGGCCTCAATGCCCGTGTTTCGGTAAATGCAGGGCAGGTAGACAATCTCTTCCCGGGGCCCTGGAGGGAAGAAACACAGTGAGGATAACAGGGGGTGGGAGGGGGGCAGGGCGGAATGAGGAGGGGGCAGTAGTGGGTGTGTCGGAGGGCGGCAGCCAGGGCCTGATCCCCCACCCCCCATTCCCACCAGTTGTAGAATCTGCAGAGCCCCACCCTCCCAGCTCACTTACCTTTCATGGCCTCCTGGGGTGTCGGGTAGCCGGGTCCACACTGCCCACATTTCGTGGCTACGGAAACAAAGCGGCAGGTTGGCTGTGGGCACTGGAGCGTGGGCGTTCCCCCCGACATCCCCCCCACACAGCCGGGCAGGCGGCTCCAGGCCCAGCCTTCCCGCTCTGCAGAGTGCTAGTGGGACAGGAAAAGTCACAGGGAAATGGCTTGAGGGGCACAGACACTCAAGTAGGACCCTCCGGTGCCGGTGGTCCAGAGGAGGGCGGGAGAAAGAGTGCTGCGGCCTAGTTTGGGACAGCAGCTTGGGTCCCAACCCCAGCCCACCACTGACTTGTTTGGGCAAGCTCCTTAACTCCGCGGAACCAATGTCCCCACCATCTTTAAAAAGGAAGCAATAAGAATAACAGGTGGGGCTTTATGAGAAGGAAACAAGACACTGAGGCACCTTGTGGCGTAGTGGTTACGCTCTGGGCTTCAAACATCAAAGTGGGCAGTTCGAAACCCCCAGCTGCTGCTCCACGGGAGAAAGAGGCTGTTGGCTCCCATAAAGGGTACACTCTAGGAAACCCACAGGGGCCGTTCTGCCCCGTCCCAGAGGGTTGCTGAGTCAGCATCGATTTCATGGCAGCAAGCTTGAGGTTTTTGAATTTGAACGCAGACGCCAGTCAAGTGTGCTGCTCCAGTGCTGCGAGGAGCCGTCCTTCCCCAAACTCTCTCCTCTGGGTCAGGACCCACTGCTGACCACAGCCTGGGTTAAGTAACCAAGGATCTGCTTCCAGGATGGAAGCTGGCTGCAGCTGAGTTCTGTTCTTGCCTGGGCCCCTGTCAGGCCTGGCTTTGGGAGCTCAGCTCTGGGGGGAGGGGTCCTCTCGAGCCCCTGGAGTCGGGCAAGAGAAGCTGCAATGAAAGTGCTTCAAACTCTGGAAGACTGGAGTCAGCCTGGGGGAGGGAAAGTTCCCTCCTCACAGCTGCCAGGACTCCAGGATCCGGATTTGGGGCCCACTAGGGGAAGGGATGAGGAATCACAGAGAAGAGCAGGCTGAAAGAAATCCTGGAGCGGAGATCATAGGATGACACAACGCCACCATGCCCGCTCAGCTGGTGGCCAGTTTGGCCACTGCCCTGGCAGCCTGCAAGTGAAGAGCCAGGAGCAGCTTCTGCTTGGACCCTGGGCCTTTGGCCAGGAGCCAGTGCCCTTTATTTCCCGCTGCCAAATGATTGAGGAAGCTGCTGATTTGGGCTAAAGTTCCAGGCTTGGCCCCAACTTCCTCCACATTGTCTCTCTCTCCTGAGCTAAAACTATCAAACCCTCAAACCAAACTAAACCCACAGTCTGCCTCCAGAATGAATTCCAATGCCCAGTCCAATACAACGACTGCCTTCTCTTGCTCCTGCAGCGTGGCTGGTGGGTCCAGACCGCTCACAGCCCATCTGCAACCACTGCTCCGTCATTTGCTACAAAACCAAATCCACTGCCATGGGGTGGGTCCAATTCAGAGAGAAGAGACACAGAGTTTCGGAGACCTTGACATCCTTATAGGAGCAGACAAGCCTCGTCTTTCTCCCTCGGAGCAGCTGGTGGGTTTGAACCACACATCTTGTAGTGAATGCTAAGAAAGGCGAGTGGTGTCTCTACCAACGAGCAGCAACGATCATCTACTCCTGGAAACCTGGGTGTTGTACTTGGCTAAGGGCTTGATTGGTGGTTAGAACCACCCAGAGGCACTCGGAAGACAGGCCTGGCAGTCTGCTTCCCGAGTCACAGCCTTGACACGGTGGGGGCGGGGGCAGTTCCACTCCACACACACAGGGTCTCCCTGAATTGGAAGGGACTCAACCACAACTGACCTCCGCCACTATGTCTCCAGGTGGTTGTGAAAGTCAAATAAGAATGTGTTTTCAAAAGCACCCGCATCAAGGAACAGTGTTGTATAAATATGGGTAGGGCTGTGCCAGCAGGGGAGGGAAGGGTGCCAGGCAGTCAGTCCGTGGTGCCCAGAGAGAGGGCCGGGGGTGCGGTGGGACAGGGGGTAGAGAGGGCTGGTCCCAAAGCCACTCAGAGTAGTTCTGTTGCTCAACCAAGCAGGCTGGGCACAGGAGACTACAGGAAGGGGGCGGTGGTCTCTAAACACAGTAGGGGAAGGAGATTAAAAATAACAACAACAACCTTCCAGGCTATCAAGACAGACATCCAAACGAAACAAAACCGCCACAGCCAAGGAGAGCAGAGAGACCTGAAATGAGGCAGGGCTGCCCAGTCGCAGCATCTTCCAGGCGCTCTTCCGCAGCCTGGGGTCTCCAGGCAGCCTCTGCTGAGCCCAGGCAAAGCTCACTGGGGCTTTCCCGATGCCAGAACTGGCTGCTGGGCCAGTCAAGCCCAGAACCCTTCGGAGGGGCGAATAGGACGACTGGATCGAGAGGTGGGGGGCCGAAACAGTGAGAAGGCGTGGGACCCCTGCTTCCCCCCCCTGAGAAAGCTGGGTGACCCTAATTCCGGAGTATAAGCAGTTAGCCCAAAGCGGAAATCAAGGTTTCTTCTTCCATAGATGTGTACCCGTAAGAAGCACCTGGGAATCTGGCTACAATGCAGAGCCTGGACCCGGTGGCTGGAGGGGAGGGCAACTTCTCCGCAGGGGGTTGAGCCAAGCAGCCAGAAACGTTGGCTAAACTGAAAAAGGATCTGGGGCAGGAGGGCAGTGTCCGGCGGCCGATCCCTGCACCCTCCTATCTGAAGCTCTTAGGGCATTTCCTGGAGGGGGAAGGGGTTCCCTCCAACTAGGGGGAGGTCAGAGGTGGGTCAGCAGACGCTGGTTGAACCCCTTTCTTACCCATGCTGCGCCTTTCTGGTCCCGGTGTGCCTGCTTCCTGGGAGCGGGCCAGGTGGAGAGCAGCTGGTGCAGTGCCCGGGAAAGGGCAAGGGAGGGAATTTATACCACCAAGAGGGGGAGGAGCAGGGGGAGGGCCCTGGCTGCAGCCAGGGTGAATGATAAAGGGCAGCTGGAGAGGACATTCTCCAAGGGGTTGGGAGGGGGTGTCTGTGTGTGTGTGTGTGTGTGTGTGTGTGTGTGTGTGTGAACTTATGTGCATGCAGGTGCGCGCTGTGCCTGTGTGTGGGTGGATCTCTTATCAGA